CAGCCTCTTCTGCCACCAAGGTGTGATTAAAAAGGAGTCCTAAGAATTGGTACTCCTTGTCAACTAACTCTAAACACAATGAAGGATCTAAGAGACTTAAGAAAAAATGGACATACTATTTTTTTTTTTATTCAATCAGAAACTATTTGCAGTTAAGCAGACAACCAATCCCCCAGATAACAAAACCCTCACTGATGAAGGAGAGAGCATAAAACCCACCTCAAGAACTGGACTTGCATTCAGACTGCATTTCTTCTTCAAGGCAAAAGCTGTCATTTATGGATTTTATTTTAAAAAGCAATTTCTTTTCATCACCCATTTATAGCCGAGATTGTCTGGTCAATATTAACTATGGTACTCTTTTATTCTTTGTGGTATTCTAGTGTATTGCTCCTTTAGGCAATCTTCAGTCTTCCAAGTTTCTTTAAAGCTGAAGTTTTATTTTCTCAGGATAGGCTTATTTTGCCACTGAAGCCAATAGTAAAATTTCCTGAAAACTGACGTTGAATGCCTCTCTATGTAACTGTATAGCACTTTTGTGGACTAGACTTCTGTATGAAATACCATATTTGATTGACTTCTGATTTGCCCCCACATTTATTTTGTACTATATGCAAAACAGTATGATGACAAAAATACAGTAATCAAATTATTCTGGAAATATACTTTCTCTTAAGATGTCACAACTATGGGATGTATGTAAAAAAACAAATTAACTTGCAAAAGAAAAATCAAATACAGTAACTAGGCAGAATCAACTCATGCTTTTATTTCCATCGCATATAAAATTTCATATGAAGGTATTGATGTACAATACTATCCCCTAGACTTGTAAGAGAGGCGAAGAAACCAGTGAAAGAAGTCATGTGCAATGTTCACACAAATTACCACTCAAGACATAGCAGAACAAAAAAATTGAAACAATAACAAAAAATTGTTCAGGATTTCTGTTGTTATAGTGTCCCTTTTATACCATTTTAAACAAAAGCAATCATTTTCCTTTGGGCCAGGGCTGCTAAAATCTACAGTTTGTGTCAAAAAGGAGGCTCTGTTTTTCCTTGAAAAAGAATCCCCCCTTTCACAAAGAAGTTGCGTGCTACATGGGCTGGGCATCACTGGAATGGAGGAGAGGTGTTTACCTCTGGCAAAGTCATTAATATCTGCTTTAAGCAGTCTGGAGCAACATGACAAGTCAAACAGCAAGAAATAGATGCTCAGTCCAACCTGCAAACCTAATACTAGTGTTACTAAAAGATCTAAAGGTTTACTACTCTCCTGTAGATCAAATACATTACATTATACACCAACTGTACAATGTCTTAGATAAATGTATATAAAATAAAACTCTGGCTGTTTATAACACTAATATTGGTGTTGGAAAGCATTTCCAAGATTAACGTCTTTTGTCCTATTTTATGGATTCTGCTTATACAGTGATCAATTGTGCTACTAAAGAAGGGATACTACAAGTGATTGCAAAAGTGTATGAGCTATATCAGTGTAATTCTGATTATTCCATTTCCCAATATGCATGAAAATTAAATGCTTATTAGATGCTTTCCGAAGCTGTTTCAGTGCAATTCAGTGCTGAAATACAGCATTATTTATTTAGTTATTTGTTATTTATTTATTTTTAAAGGAGCAAAAAATGGCTGCTATAATCCCTGATGATAGCCTGTAAATAATATTCATAATCATGATAAAATAATGACAGTCAGAGAGGCAATAAGATTATATTGCCAGAAATCTGGAAAAGCTTGAACTTCCAGCTGGGTCATGAATGAAAGCTCACTGTAGTATCATGTGTATTAACTTGTCCGAGTAACCCCATTAGTTAGGAACTAAAAATATAGAAATGCCCAGCCCTATCCCCAACAAGTATTTTAATTTCAAATGCAGCAAAACAGAAGAAAATATTGTTTAAGGTTAAGGCACAGCCCTGGGACCAAAGACCTGCAGCTTTTTTTATTGATATATCTTTATGTATTTTATACTTTTCTTGAATCTTCCATAAACGAGCTCTAAGGTGACATTGAATATATTACAGGAGAAAAAATGTACAAGGAATATGTATACACAGTAATCATTCTCTCACCAAGAGTTTCCAAATATAGCAACACCACCCTGACAAGGATGATGTTATAATAAGAAGTGATAATTTACAGTTAACATTACAGTATGTACATTACAATAAATACATGGTTGTAAACAGAGACAAACAAGACTGTATTACAGGTAAGGTCATTTGGTGAGAAAAATGCATGGCACAAATAAAATAAATAATGCATTTGAAAAGAACCGCCAAAGCTTTCTCTAAAATCCATTTCATTCAAGTTTTTCAGACTTCCGAATGCTATTTGTTCTATCTATATTCTTTCACTATCTTTTTGAATGACACAAAACAGTTTTAAGAATACATTACTGAGTACAGTAACTTGCAAGCTAAAGTGTACTTTTACAAGCAAGGTAAATTTTCTTTTTTCCCGCGTTACCCACTCACTGCATTTTCTTATGGCAAAAATACTCAGAACACATAAAGCCACTTGTATTATTTTAAAGTAGCGTGCAATGCTAAAACACTTTGGCAAATTTGGGAAAAAAAGATTGTACAGTGCATTATATCCCTGGCTCTAAGAAATTATACAATTTTCTATTATTTGATTGTCCACATCTATGGGCATAAATCTCACAATATTGTGTTATTCTTTTCATTTACTTTTAAGTAGTGCAGATACAAAATCTTTTCAGGTACCTACTCGTTGTTTTGGAATTCATATTGCTTTTCCATTATTAAGGTTCCAGGCACTCTTGGGGACTGAAAGGATTTTTAGATGGATTGGGTTCAGGAGGAAACGATGAAGAACAAAAGAGTAAAAAACTGGAAAAAAACCCAACCCTATGAGTTCTCTTCATTCTCTTTCCTCCTTCAGCATCTTCTGTGCTAAGGCCCTGTGAGAGCTAAAGGTAGATAAAACTATGACCTGGATGTAGAAGAATGCAAAAAGCATTTAAAAGCTGAATTATTTAGCCAATCTCTTTAAAACAGATTTTTATTTTAGATCACAGACTCGTCAAAAAAAACCCTGTATTTGTATCTGCAAATTTACTACAAAATGAATCCAAAGGGGAAATAATGGCTGATGCTCTCTTCTTTTGTTAAGAAATTATCTTTTTACCAGAGTTTTGCAGAGTGGGAGTCTGGTAGCTTTCCTAGGCAACTATTTCTCATCTTCTGCGCTCAGAACTACTTTTTTTGGTGGTGAATAAAGTTGAGGAAATACAAATCCTTCTTCTTCTATGTGATGATCGAAAGGACTGGAAAATGACAAGTACAAACCTCCCTTTAAGTTCCCACGTTACAAAAGCTTTCAGTACCAATCAAACCAAAAAGCAGGATACTCTCAGGACAAGCTGGGTAAAGTGTGAAAAGATCTGAAATTGAAATAATGTGGAGTAAACTACAACTCTCATGATGCATTGCTCATTTACCTACAAAACATAAAAAGAAAAAAAAACTGACCTGGCTCTTCTTGCAACAAAGACATAAAAAAATAAAGCTAAAGGTTATGTTGTACACATCTCAGATTAGCAAATGGCTTAACTAGATACCTGACACAGATGAAAAGTTGAAGAGAGTCAAAGCTGGAAATACTACACTGATGCTTCTTTTGCCAGAACAAACATTCCTTACATTGTCTTAGCCTGTTCTAATATAGCTCCCAGCCAAAAATGGTCTGGAAACCATGTTTCAGAAGGATTATTTTTATTAGTATAGCTAAAGAGCTGCTTTTGTATTAAGATGAAGTTTCATTACCTTTCTTACGGGCTCTAGTCCTGCAAATCCTAATCTTAGTGGTCCCACTTGCTTTCACTGAGACCGCTTCTTTTAGTAGGAAAGGATTGGCAAGATCAGGCCACTATGAGGGCAAAAGCACAATGTAAGTTCCTCTAACACATTTAAGAAAGTTGTGATAAAAAAAAAAAAACCAAGCTAAAAAGCTATCATACTTAAAACAGTTTTATGTAACATAAAGGATATTCATGGAACTCACTCATATATAAAACAATAGACTTACAGCTCAATATTACCATGAGATTCTAAGGTGCAAAACAAAGAAGAAAAGGGAAAAACCCCCTATAATTATTATCCAGTGTAGCACAGATTTGTACTAAAAACTTGCAAGTTACTCTTTGGAAAAAAATTAACCAGTGGCAGATGAAGTCTGAAAGTGTTTTTCTTTAAATATAATACCTCAGTACATTTAATAACAAAAGTAAGCTCTACAAAAGACCTCTCTTTTACATACTATACAAAACACAGAGGTTAGTGCAACCCACTGGGTCACGCTTTTTTCAGTCACATATCAGGAAGACTTGAAATTAGAAAATTACGCAATTTCCACAGCTCATCTTCCTATTGGTAACAGAAACATGTTGTGTCCCATCGTTTATGTGCATTTGTTTTCCACTAGGAACCTCAGTTTATTTGCTGTCTGTTTCCTCTGACGATGAACATTATCCAATGCTTTGCTTGTGAAATACAATGAATTCAAAAACTATCAAAGCATACCAGCATTTGGTTGGCATTTGGTTTTCCTCTGAAAACATTTGCTTTATTTAATCAAATCTGCTAAATGGAGAGCTTATTAAAATGTAGTTTATGGATATTCTTCCCCCTGCTTTCTGATGCCATGGAGGTGAAAATTCTGGTTACAGTATTCCTGAGTGCCAAACTGAGTCATCAAGGTCAGTTTTGATCAACAAACGTCCTGGCAGATGACAGCGAGTTGTGACCGTGGTTGTAGCATATGACATACACTTTGGAAACCATTACCTAATTAAAAAAACAAACAAACAAACCAAAACAACCAAAACCCCAAAACAAAAAATCCCACAAAACAACAACCACCAAAAAAACCACCCCAAACCAAAACCAACAAAAAACACCAACAGAGAGGAAAAAAAAAAGGAAAGGGCAGAGAGAGACCGCATCTTCATTGTTATGTCTCTAGAGAATGGTCTTCTACCACACAAGGTTCCGTCTGGTTCTCCTCCTCTTCTACTTCTTCCCCTACTTGCTCATCAAGAGGAATTTCAGTGGATTCTGAATCCTGGGTGCAAAGAGTCTTGGAGTCACTGCAACTGGTGTCTTCTTCTACTTGACTTCCACTGTCCTTTTCAGTATCTGACTCACCATCTTCCTCCAGTGTTAGTTCAAACTGGAATTTTTCAGTCTGGCCCTGTCTACCCTCTTCCTGATCATCAGGTGCAGGAGAGGGACTTTGAGGGATTGTGCTCTGGTACCATTCTCGATTGTCCTCCAGTGTATCTAAGATATCTTGGGCATCCGGGTGAACAAGATCTGCCCATGTTTCCCACAGAGGATGAACAATGTAGTCTATAAAACCCACCTGTTTCAAATAATAAAAAGTTACTATGAGCTCTTACTGACAAAGAAATAAGCAACTCTGCCTAGAAGTCATGCAAAGTATGAGAAATAAAACACTACAGAGAGACACTAGATGCACTACCCTTAAAGGTGGCTGAAAGAAAGCCACGCTGTTTCATGTAGTAAATAGGGCTTTCTACATTTTGAAAGTCAGATTCAGAATATTGGATAAAGAATTGGAAAGGACTTGTTTTCAAATGACCTGTTCATTCCAAACAACTCCACTGCATCTAGTGAGCTGAACAGCTGCTTTATATTTAATTTTGCTTTTGAAGGAAACCTTAATGAGAAGGTGTACAATACCCACATTTGATTGTATGCTTCCAAACCAAACTATTCGATGATTCTAGATTGCAGGTCATGACAGTGATGGAATCCCTTCAGCTAACACACTGCCATGCACTATGTTTTCACAGTAAAAATCTTAGCTCCTGTCACTTACTACTCAGGAACTGAATTAACTAGGAGGAAAAAAGGACACAGCACATTCAGAAATAAATCAAGACATGGACCGTGTCTATTAAAATGCCATCCTGTGTTATTTAACTGACTACTCAAATCAATTACCTGTGATTTTTCTACAGATGCGTTGTGCTTATCACACATGGGACTTATCTCCATTCCCCTCTCTCTTTCCCGATCTCCCTGACGGAAGAATTCCTCCATTATTCTGTCTGTCCACTGGCGGTAGAGGTGGAGTGGCTTGGTTGGATTGCTTAGATCTGCACAGTGCACCATATTCTGAAGAACCTAAAATAGATGGAACACGTGTGATGTTATTACACTAGAGAAAACCAGATCCTTTTCCATTTACACTTTTGGTGGCTGTGAAATGGAATCTCAAAAATGCATATAGAGCAAGATTTACTCTAAATAGCAAAACCTTATGTGCCTGGGTGTTTTTCTCACTTCCAGTAATAGACATGACCTACCTCTCCTTTGCTGATTCTGCCTGTATAAGGGACAGACTATCTTTGAGAGAAACACCAATCAGGTGTTGGTAATCTGAAGGGAAGGCCATATACTTATTTAGTCCAGAAGTACTCTAGCACCTTGTTACTCCCTTAGAGTCACTCAGTACCAAACCAGGTACGTCACAGGTCGTGAAACATAAGAGCATGTAGAGAAAAGTAGTGAGCCATGGTGTGAGAATGGACAGCTGATCTCACCCATGCTAAAGAATGGGTAGACCAACGTTATTAAGGATGTAAGTTAATACAAGTGACCACTTGCAGATGAATTTTCTTACCTGAATCCTGTCTGAATAGTTATCAAGAAGTAGGACACCAGAACTGGTCACTTTTTTGGTTTCAACCATAGTTTTTAAATCAGCCAGTAGATTCATATGCTTAGACATGTCTGTTGCAAGTACCTTGAAAAACACAAATAAATAAATTAATATTATGCAAATTATTCTACTGATTTTTTTTTTTTAAATTGTTTGAAAGCACATAAACAAAACAGTTCTGGGGGGAATGCATAACTCCTACGTCTGAATACACTATAAAAGTCTGAGTCCTACATGCCACTAGTGTCCAAAAGAATAAATTTTCATTTTGGTTATTTTAAGAACATGACAAAATGATTGTTCAGAATTGCTCAGAATGATCAGAAAGAACCCACTATTCATGTTTGGATAAGATGCAATAAAACTTTGAACTTTTACTTCACTGGTTATGGGTCTAATGACATGTAATTTATCATAAAATGCTTCTGTGCTTTATTATTCTATTTGCTAGCACTACGGAAGAGTGACACTCAAGCAGAACTCACAATGTCAATGACCATTTTCCTCAATGATTGCCTCTGCTTTTTGGTCAAATTCTGGAAAATGTCACAATTTTCTTCCTGCAGCAGCTTGAACCCCACAGCTAAGTGATGATTCTCCAGTACTGATGAGTCATTGTACATCAAGGCGAGTTCAGAATCTGCAATAACAATTGCAGGGCAGAATGTTACTAGAACCTGTGCTTCTACCAAATCCCTTAACATTTTTCAAAATCATTACATTCATAACAAGATTTACAGATGAGCTTTTAGAAGGAGTTCCTGTAGTTCACACAGTATCAAAAGTTAGAGAATTAATGACTGAACGCTTTAACCAATCAAGGCAAAGAAAATAAAGAGAACACCTTGCAGTGAATCATGTACATGTACCGGGAGTGGCAAGTTATAAAAGGAAGGTATTTTTCAGAGTACATTTTCATAACTGCATGAGGTCCCATGGAAAATATTATACGCATAAACACAACTAAACTGAAACAGACTCTGATGTTTTCTCATGCCTCCCTCTATCGCTGCTACTAAAATTCGACTGTTTAACTCAAGTTGCAACTATCCGGCACTCTGACCTGAGAATATGCAGCTGAGGCTTTGCTGAAGCTCAGCAGAGAGCACACATCCTGGCCTTCAAACCACCTCCTTCTGTAGTTAACGCACCTAGGTGCTGAACCAATGAGGCTTACAGGTCATTAGCTCGTGACAAGTGGATATTTTGAGAGGAGGCTGGTAGGATGTAACAGTTATGCTACTGGTCTTTTTTTTTTGGAAGATCATGTGGTTTGAGAGTGCAAGCGGTGGCTTTGCCTTCTGCCTCATACTCGAGCATGGTCAACGCCTGATGCTGTAATGCTGCCTGCCCCCACAGAAGCATTCAAAACTCGGTCTCTCTACATGGCTCTGACACGCACCTTCCTAGCAATGCTTGTGCTAAGGCACACATGCAAGGTCTGCATTTGTCTGCTTCTACCTGATAAACAGCCAGCTCTGACAAATAAAACAGTTATGACAATTTTCTGCACAGCTTAGCTTCTGCTGGGGGATACCCCACAGTCAGCTTGCACATGTTTAAAGACATAGCTTGCAAATGAATCTGTCTTAAAAAACAAATACTTCTTATGCACTCAACACTTGTCACATGTGATATTAGCTTGTATTTATTACAGGTGTTCTATCCTAAATCTAACCATACGTCCATCTATCCTACTGTTTGTCCTCTTTATCTTCCTTTACAGCAGCTTTGTTTTAAAATCCCTCTGGCTCAATGGGGTGCTCGTAAAAGCTCTGCTCTTCAGACTTCATTAGTCTCATTATCCATTCTCCTGCTGTCTTCCTCTTCTGTCTTGAATACATTGAACTTTTGGATCAAGAAACCCTTTCCCTACCTTTCCTTATGGCAGCAAAACCACAACAGCAAAAGGAAAAATAAAAACAAGTTTGTCAAATGATCTCTTTCATCTTTCACAGAACATTTCCAAAGCTTCCCTACGTGTTATTTTTCATACAAAGAAGACAGACACTAGCTTATTTTCCTTTCAAACAGTGTTCTGATGAAGCTCAACTGCAAAACACTCAACATTGCCAGAATACTTTGGAAGGGCTGGAGCTACAGACAGAGCTAAGATGTGCTCAACTTTGTCATGGGGGTGAAAATGGAAGGAAGTTCCTCCTTGCTAATTCTGTGTAGCACATTATAAGCTTCAAGCGTATTTTTCAGAAAGGACAGAGTTACAGTGATCAAATAAGTATCTCCTCTGATGCTAATACAATCTGTAATTGTTTGTTCTTTAACAGCATTCAAGAAGGATCTCATTCTTAGACAACTGTATAACAGACTTTAAATCCTTAAACATGGAAACAATATTCAGAAATATCACGAATAATTATAAATAAATCAGCTGAAATATGGCAAATACATATACACTTCAAGTAAATTTAAGTCTATTATGCTTCTTTAAAATGTATGCTTCATTAAAATGTATTTAAAATGTATTCTTATACTTCTTAGTGAAATGTTAATACACTGTAAAGTTCACTGGAAAACAAAACTAGGTGGAAGGAAATGATCTTCTTAGAGGTTAGAAAACTTGAGGATTTGAGAGACCTAAATTAGATGGTCCTTATCACTGTCCCTACAGTTTCCTCAAATGGGATAAAATCCTTTTGTTGCGTCTCTTTCAGCTTGGCAACAGCAGTTCTAGTTAGCAATGTTACCTGACGGACGTGGAAGCCTTCTCTGTCAAAAGCTAAACTGAAAAAAGCAAGACATTTCTTCTAAGCCTCTAAATAGGCAGCATCATAATCAACGCTTATCTTAGCTCAATTTCATCTAACTGCTTAAAAGTGAAAGCTTTATGTATGACTACTGGCCCCTTCAACTAGCCAGTCATGCTGCTTAAACCCAAACAACTCAGTGGTTTCCCCATAGCACCTCAGAGCCACCAATATATCCTAATACGTAATTTCTGATTAAACAAACAAATAGAAACTTTACTTATATATGCCCACTTCATGTTGCTTTGTGCATAAAGCTTGATTCATTCCTGTCCTATACCATGCTGCTGAACTGTACTGGTTACTAATAAAGCACCGGAAATCTAGAGTCAATCTCAATCCTCCTCCATGCAGATGAGTCATCAAAATGCATTTCACTATAGGGTGGCCCTCAAGCCATTAAGGCAAATAAAATTAGATGCAGGCTAAACTGGAGCAGAGGACTTATTTGAATGTACAGCAGCAATGAGTTAGAAGAGGTGCTCACTTCATCAAACTATAACACTGATTTGGGGTCACGCTATTTTAGCTCCGGTGCAATAGATTCACCCAAGTGCAGAAATGACAGTACCTATAAATGTGCAACCAGATGGGTCAAAGACACACTAGGTACGTTTCCATTTCTGCTGTTTTTTCTTCCTACATGCTTGAATTATTAATATCATTTCAACTTTTATACTTCTGGGTCAGTTATCGTAAAAAGAGAAGTTGTCAGATGGCAAAGGAAATGACGCCGTATGACAGAACTTGCACTGACCTACGATGTGCTGTCCACTTCTAATGGTAACATAAGGCACTGAAATCAAAGCAGTTTACATTTGGGCAACAAACCATTCAGTAAACGTGTCATGATCAGGTTCAACAAAGTTAATAGCGTTTTTCTTCTAGCAGAAGATTAAAGAGAGTGGAGAGGTTCATGCAACACTGTGGAGAACGCCTTGAGGAATGCAGAATAAGTTCACTGGGTTTCAAATCTGGAGATGACATTAGGGTCTTATTTCATTAAGGCTTTTTTTCTCCACACATGGAGTGCCAGCAACAGACTCGACAAAAAAAAACCCAAAACTTTACCATTGCCTGCAGAGACAGTCTGAGGCAATTATAAAATTCAGTCCACAAGGCATGAGTATGAAGAGATCAGAAAGCAAGCACAGCAGCTGGGGAGAGACAGACATGGGACTGCCAGTCTGTTTGCTAAAAAGCAGCTTGTTTTTTGAATTTATCAAAGGAGTATGGCTATCCTTGGTTATATAATATGCTTCCAATGTAAACATTGTTGTTGTCCTTTTTCCGATTTTTATTTAATCTTCCTTCATTTTTCTCCTACAACTTTACTTAATGTAAACCAACTAATTTCCAGGAGAGCTAACATCCAATACATTGAAATAGTGCCAGGTTTATAGTTCATGTCTTAGTACCCTCTAGCAAGAATTACAATATAAATTAATTCTAAAGTTACAAGAGATGCAAAATAATATCCACTTTAAAATACAAACATCAGTCTATTTACTGACAAAATTTACAGATAGAAGCAAAATAGAAACGAACTGTGTATTTTTCAGGTGCTATGTGGATATCCTGCAGCAAATTTTTGAGAAAACAACTGGACATCAAACTTACTTGTGTTGATAAGAAACTGATTTGAAACCCCAGGATGATCTACATCATGTATTGCACTGGCAAAAATTGCTGCAAGAATCTCCAAATCAGTGAACACTGCCTAGAAAATCATGAAACAGAAACGACAATCACTAATCAATGGAAAAGTGTTTTCAATTAAAAAGACTGTACTTGGACCTGAACAAGCAAAGCACATTTGAAATGTATCACAAATGTCAAGAGATTTTATACATAGGCTATATGAACCTTTTGTAAAATTGTATATTATGTAGAATTTCAGGTTTGGCCATAGAAAAATAGTCCTTACTTCACAGGGACAGCATCACTAAATTCCATAACAACTGAAGCTTTTTCATTTTTTTCAGCTTCAGTCTGTAAATAAATCCACCTTTATCAGATCATTAACTACAGATTAGATCACTAAGTGCAGTTTCTAACCTAGAGCATAAATTGAAGTTAAAAATTTCAGCCTGACTCCTGCGTACTGTCCTACACTTGAAAGATGCACATCTCCTAAAGGATGCTACAGAAGATGGTGACAGGCTACAAGGCATCTTACTTAACAGTTACTAATTTTTTTGTGTATGAGATTATTAGGAAGAGAGAACTGCAATGGACTTGGCATGTGACTGGCCCTAGTCCCATGCTGTCTCAACCACCCACATCATATAAATGCTTTCATAATTCACCAAGAACACAAGAACAGCTCAGAAATGCATAGGTCACCAGTGGCACTGGGCAGACATTGCTGTTTTACTGGCTAAAACTCTGCTGAGAACAAGGCCATGAAAAACAGTTGATCTGGGGAAAGAAAAGAAAAAAAAAAAGCTACTGATGACCAGCTCAGCTGTTTGGTGAAGCCAGTGGTGATTCAACAACATAATCTAATCTTTCTGCTTGAGATCAAGAATTGAATCTTTCTCAAGAGAATGCCCAAGTCTTTTAGGATTGAGACCTGCCAACTGCCAACAGTCTTTAAGTCCACTGATAACCCTCTTTTTAAGAAGAGGGTAAACCAGAAACATCCAGTAACATTAAAGATTGGCCAATATGAAAGAGACTCAAAGTGCAGCCCTTCTTGAAAATGAGAGCAAATCCTTTTGAACCACAAAAATTTCAACTGCTTCTTCTAATCTGCCTTTTTCTGACCCTTTACTGGGATATATCAATGTTTGCTATACTAAGACGTGGAATTGTGGTTAAAAAAGGTGAAGTTATCTCCATCTTTCTTCCTTCTACTTCAGAGATTTAAACACTTTCAACAAGATAATTAATCAGAAAAGAACATATGAAATGTTATTTTTTTCCCCAAAAAATCTTAAATATTTATGAAAAAAAGAAAAGAAAAGATAGCCTAGTGAAAATTTAGTACATTCTCCACTCTGCTGGTGAAACAAACAGAAAAGTAGCCTTTCAGGACCAGAATATATATGCACAAGGGAAAACCCAGAAAGGATCTACTGAAGGAATTCCCTTTTATCACTGTCTTTCCTAAGCAATTCCACTAATGGTGGTTATTGAGAATCCCACATAGGAAATAATGACAGAACAGGATGAAGTATTAATAACAGGGTGGTTGAAAGAAGTTAGGCATTATGTTACAACGAAGAAGGTTACAACAACACAAAGCTGCATGATTTAGAAGAAAGAGATGTGATGTTTTCTGCGCCATATTTACACATAAATAAGCTTTGATTCTCACAAAATATCTTTAAAAGACCAGAGTTCATGAAATAAATTTTAAGATTGCTTTAAAAAATATTGCAGACTCTGAGATCTTCAATATTTAGCTTAAAGGAGTCTTAGTACACTCCTTTCTCTTAGTGTAGTTTACCTCTAATGCTGGGGTTGATAACAGGACATGGGTTGACTGGACAACATCTGCAGCATGTATGTTATTGTGATATGCCACATCTGCATGGTAATGGTCTTCTAGGGTCATCAAGTAAGTTATTAAAGTATCTACTGGAATCTTAAATGTTTTTAACAAGTCCCGTTCCTAGAAAAGAAAAATGGAAAAAAACTAAGATGACAGAGCACAGAAAAATCTCCAAGATAAAAAAAAAGAATGGCTGCTCCTACTTGCCTGAAAAATGGTGTGCATGATGACTGTCAAAGGTCTGTTTCCAGATAACTCTGCTACTCTGAAAACCTGAAGGCCCCATTTGTTCACATCTTCTAGTTCCTAGAGCAGAATCAAGCAACAGCACATTGAAAACCAATACATGAATTCCAGTGAATTTTGTTTGAAACAACTACAAACAGCAGATTCATGAAGAGTCAAACCTTGCCACTGTGAATTTTATCTGCTACACCCTGGAACAGGGGAGGCTGCTGCTAATCTTGCAATATGTGAATTTGCAGGCACTGACTTTTCAGTTTTTAATTCACTAGTGCCTCTTTCCTGGATTGCCCCTGCAAGGAAAAAATGCTACAGTATCTTGAAGGAGCTGAACTGACACACTTCGTTATCTCACTGCCCAGTGACAGCAGAGTTCAGTGAGGAGGAAACCTCCAAAGATGTTGTGGTTCTGCTGCTATCTCCCTGGTTTTCAGAAACACTCCTCAAATAAAGGGGGAGATTCCTGAAAACATAAGGATAGGCACATTTCAGAATGAAAAACTCTAAAATTAAACGAACAGTCACTTTATTCCACTTTTACATTATTGCCAACTAGTTAGCTGCTGGTGCAAAAATCATAGGAAATGTCTTTAAAAACAAAGCCATAAATGATGTATGCAAAATGATACAGCTAAAGAGAGGATCTGGAAGGATAGCTCTAATGCTATACATAGTTGTGCTTTTTTGAAAAACATAGGGCTGCTATAAATTTTCATTCCTGTGACAGTATATTTTCACTCTTCATTCCTCAGTAGTTACTTACGGATAAGCAGCTTTATTAATGGATACAAAGATGCTAATTTACATTCCAGTTTCAGATGAAATCCACATGGAAGTTAACCCTTATGGTCTGATCATGATTTTACTTGTTATTCTTTCACTTCATTATTTCAGGTGAGACCAGCTTTTGGTGCTACAGCTTTAAATCAATGTTTACAAGCAGAGGATGGTATTAAATGACCAATCCACCCTCTATTTTAATTCAGTGGTTTGAATTCAAGGATTCGTATATTGTCTACCTTGGCGAGAACATCTTCTTGGTCTGTTTTAACTCCGAATCTGGGAATACTGGAATTAGTCAGGCTGGAGCTGTGCATCAGTTTTTTGACTCCACTGATCTGTGACATTGGCCTCTTCTTTTTCTCTTTCTCTTTCTGTGTTGGAGAAGGGATTTCAACTTCATGTTGCTTGTCTTCAAAAGAATGAAGAAAAAGAGAATAATTTTAAAAGGGATTACAAATATTATAAAATTCATTGTCATGTTCATAGATACTGTAATTATTAACAAAACTTTTTTTATGTTAGGAGGTTTTGCAACAGATACTTTATATCAAGAGCAGTAAAAACATAACAAGATAAACACAAACTGATGTCTCACTATGAGCAGATCTTTATTTCACAAATTGTCTCATTATTTTTGAACTGGCTTTAAATATGACTTGGTACTGAGTTCTGCTTCTGTATCACTAGTGCTCTAGAGAAGGTCAATCCTTTTGTTATAAAAATGCTTTTACAACTCAACAGAAATCTGAGCTTCCATTTTGCAAGAAAATTTTAAATTTATTGTTTTCTAGGAAATCACTCTCTTAAAATTGTATTTCGATACCAGTCAGAACAGTATCTCATTTAAACCTTTAAAAAACACTTTCAGGACTCTGAAGACCTAGTACTTGGGAACTGGTCCTGTTTGTGTTACGACTGTACAGCTCAAATCCTTCTGCCAGCCACATCTACAAGCACTTTGGAGGTAGAGTCTTGCAGCAATGCAGTGCAACCAGAGTACGCATCGCTGACAAAAGGACTGTTTTACTAAAACTCAACATTTTGCTCTGGGCTTTTGCCTCCATAACAGTACCAGCAGCATCATTTCATATACCTCAACAACGTATGTGCCAGCAAAACTTTAGACAAGGATTAAACTTGCCAGCTGAAACAGGATGGGATTATGGAGCACTGTACATCGGTGGTCCCCAAAGAAACTCCAGTTAGTGCAACAACAGACTGTCCTGCAAAACCTACTAGGACTTTTTTTGCCTTGATTTTTATTCTTCTTATTTAAGCTATATTTCAATATAGAGTATTAATGACTTCCTCCAAATCATCTTTTCTTTGCTGAAATGTAACTGTACCTTTTCTAGTCCTCAAGGAATATTTCAGTAAAACAAGGAAAATCCAGAAAAGATGTTTCTAAAGTAGGCCTAGCAAAATCTATGATTTAAAAAATATCTTAGAACAAAAACAGAAAAAAAACTCAGGGATTTTTAAAACGTATGTCTGTTTTTTCCTTCCTGCAACAGTCATTTTCAGTAAAGGTACTGAAATCAGACAAGGCCAGCAAGTCCATTTCTGATTACTGTGTTTCCTTCTTTAATTTTTCTCTTTTTTTTTGGAATTTATCTTTTTTTAATTACCCCTTAGCAGTCACATTTACCAGACACCTCAAATTCCAAACAGATCACAGTGAAGCAGAGACTGTGGAAATGTCACCAAGCTTTAGCCCGCAGCGCTGAGTTCCCCAATTGCCCCAGCGATACTTCACCATCCTCCTCATATGGACAACCAAGAAAAGGGGGAGGCGGAGTGCGGCAGCTCTTGACTGGTGGAAACTGACAACAGATGAGGAGCAGCCACTCGTGTTTGTGCTTTGATGTTTATGGTTTTGGTCATATGCACAGAGTTTAGACCCATCAAAGGGAGGTTCATAAGCCAAGCTGTCAGACTAACTCAAGTGAAAGGAAGTGTCTGAACGACTCTAGATCTCCAGAGGAATTCCATGGGACTGCCTCTGCTTTTGTAACTAAGGGCCCACAGGGCAAAGGATCCTGCACCCGTCTGAACATCGAGAAAAGACAGCTTGCCATTTTGACCCTGATTGTGCTATGCTTATTGGCAGGTTCTCCTACATTTTACATTCATAGGAAAACAGGTTAATGACACTGAAAAATAAAAAACTTGCATATTATTACACACAATGTATGAGCGTTAATGCTTACACAAGGATGTATTTGTTGTCATTATGAATAACTTCATACATGTCATACAGCCCTACTTCGGTCAACTTCTTTTTGTGAATGGTAAGTAGAACACAAAAAAACCCCATGCTTTTCTCAAGACATGTTCCAAACTTCCAATTGAGAGAAAGTCGGTAGATGTTCAAGAGATAGATTACATATTAAAAAATGACGAACTAGACTCATCAGAATTTTCTAGGGACAGAATATTTTCCCTCTTCACTTTGTTTCTCAGAACCTATATACCTAGATTACATATTTTGAAAATACTCTATTTAAACTGTAATTCTGTAGATGAAGTGAATTCCCTGTTGTTTTCCTCCTGTACCTACAAATTTTAAGTATCCTAGTTTTCCATGCAGCCACAAAACAGTACCCATGGCTCAGCAACTTAGAAGTGATTGCCTTTCCAGCCCTCCTTCTGCTCAAGACTGAGGTCTCATATGAAAGGCTGACAGATGCTTTTCCTTAACTTGTCAAAATGAGCCCAAAGAGAAACTGCTTTCTCAGTCTTTTCAGCCTAAGTGGGTCATCTTCTCAGGCAACTGTACACACTGACTTTCAGGGTTCCTGAAGCTGTGCAGTATTGCTTCTCCATGTCGGAGGCTCATCTCTTTTTTATTGTCTGAAACCCTGCTGTGCCGCAGTGCTCCGGCATGCTGCTGCATTCCTGGTAAACTGAACAGATGCATTAAGCCATCCATTTAGGATAACGTGATGAGTAGGATGAAACGTACTTAAAAAACCCACATGCTTCTTTCAAAAAACATAAAAGCAGCAGCTACGGTATCTCACACAAATAAAAAAAAAAATGTATCTTTACGAGTATGACTGGCATTTTTTTAAAGTACATGTTACGATAATTTAGATATATTCAGCTGTGCCTTCCCTTATATGTACAGTCTTTATGAAGCAGTAAGGGCTTTGCTCAAAACATGTTTGAGATTTGTATATTATCGTTACCTTCATGTTCAAAATCAACAGTATGGAACCAATTTTTATTCATTTTCACCAGTTTAGCAAGAAAAAATATATATGCTTCCTTCTGGAAAGCCACAGAGGAAGAAGTAAATGCTTTGTAATATTTTTTCAGGCTTTTTTTAATGCTCACATCCCACCATATCAGGCTCTGGAGCCATACAAATTCTCCTGGCAGCAGTCTGTTCAGATGTTGACTCCATTGTATTCATTTATCTGCTCATGTGCAAGCAGGGAATACCAAAGCATCAGAACTGTGTGCTACAAGATTTTATGAGGTTACTTGTGCTTCTGCGCTTCTAGAACACTGAAACCTCTTCGTAGTAACTTTCATAAGGGAAAATGAGTGGAAGAATCCTTTTTAATACGTAATTAATTTATTAGATATTCTTGTCTCAATACATTAGCAATATAGTAGTTGTAATATTGATGTAATGAAGTGTAATGCAATGGAAATATGTATATGAGTATTTAGCTGTAATTACACACACAGGGAAACCACACAGACAAACTAATTAAGTTGTGAGGAAATGGATCTAACATGATTGCTCTGCTCAAGCGCTAACCAATGAGATACTAAACATACAGTCTGTGAAAACAGAAAATTTATACAGAAAGCTATTTGCTTTTAAACTCTATCACAGCCCAAAGAGAAATAAAAAAAAAGCAAACACAAAAACAAAACACCGCAAAAGGCAAAAAAGTTACCTCCCATCATAGGCTTACCTAAGAATGTGTTTGATATATATTCTGAGACCTGATTGCCTGACCTGCTCATTTCAGATAGGTGGGTTAGTTCCCGGTTCAGCATTCTTTTAAACTGGAAAACAAAACAAAACAAAGCAGCATAAAATTAGCCATCATGATGTATTTTAGTTAGGATAAGAAAATGCAGTTAATTTATTATTGAGGAAAGGACATGATATTAATGATATATGCTAAACTAAGATATTTATAAAAGCAAAAATCAAATGTAACATCCCCCTACCCTAGTAACTTATTCATAGCTTGAACAACATAATTCCTAATATCCTAATATACTCCACAGTGATTCTATTACTAAGGCACAGGTTCCTAATAGTAACTGAAAACTGTAAGGCGTATGTATGCACAAATAAACATTCCCATCTTTCCATGTTTATTTTAAATTGGAGAGAAAATACAAATATATTTACATAGGACCCCTTCTATGGGTTCTATGTAAATCAAGGTTTTGTTATCATACTTGTTAATTGATCTCTTTGTGCAATTTTTGCACATTTTTTAACATTTCAAGTTTATCTTACCTCTTATCATTAATCTGTTCAAACATATTTGACAGCACTGCTCGAAACAATCGAAATATCTTACTGATTTCCTACACACCAATATGAATAGAAGTAGCTTTTGTTGTCTCTAACTTAAAATTATACTGGATCAGCCCAATGATTTCACCATTCCACAGTCTCAGAAAAGTATCAGTATCTGTATGAAACACCGGAGCAGAAAACACCCATCTGCAGAAACACCTTTTCCCTCTGAGTTCGCAATTTACTCTAGGCACTCTATACGACAGAAGTGGATATTAACACTCCACGAAATATGTAATTGATTAGGTACTCATCATTGAGCCTTTCTTGATTCTTGCTACACTCCAGGGTTAAATGGTATCTTGTGGCATTGTGTTCAACAGGTTAATTACATAACGCAGGTCTAGCTATCTTATATGCGTTTTCACTGACTGTATCTCTCCCTTGATATTGTCAACAAACAGAACTCAGCAACATATATGGGCAATTCAGACAACTCTTGCCAATGTAAATTAGCATCCCTCACTACTGAATTTTGCCTCCCATTGTGTATATTTTCCTTTAATTAGATTTCTCAGTCATCTTTTCTCTTTAACAAAGCCAAATGATATGTGCCATTTCAGAATCAGCTTTCGCCTTGTTCGCCTGGTGATAACTGTGTATTACATCAAGCAACACCTATCCTTAGTATATATCCCTGTAAACATTCCTCTGTGTTGAAAACTAGTAATTTGTACTTCTACAGGAGACAAAGCACCAGACTAAACATTAACCATCTCCTTTCCATCCCACTAGAATCAAAGCCCTTTCTTCAAAGAGGCCTTGTTTAGTGAAAGGTGTAATTTTCTTCACAATGTCTTTGTAATTCATCAATTATTGTATTGCTCACAGCGTGCCAAATAAAAATTACCTCTAATATAACACCCTAACCATTAGCAATTGCATTTTCTGGTCATTTTGACATGTCATCAGCTCAGGAAGTTCCCAAGCTACAAAGACTGAGTCCTACTTTATTCACAAGTCAAAGGCTCAGCTTTGATGTCAGATATAGCCGTGTGCTAGCAAGTGCTTAACACATTTCTGAAAATTAGAACTATACTGCAAATACAGCTATGCATACTATGAACTACAGAGCTATACATTCTGCATGAAACCAGTATCAATTTCCGTAGTGAGGTCTGCTGTTTGTTGCCAAGGTCAAATGTTACAAAAACAAGTCAAGCTTGCCAAGAGGTAAAGTAACAGGTCCAGAAATTCTAAGAATGTTTTTAAAACCCTGTCTTTACACAATTGAAACACACTGTAGTCACACTTGCATGCTTTTCCTTTTGCACCCATGAAGATTAGAAACTGAATTATTTAATGGAAAATGTTAAGATCTCATGGAAAGGCTTGCCATCCAGATGATATCCAGAAAACGCAGTTTTAAATTAAGTATCACATATAGGAGTATTCTCTCCTCCTTAATTTAATCCAGCTAGTTCACCAAATACCAACTTAAATAGGTCCTTGTCTGTCTTGTTGTTTCCTAATAAATCCTTTTAGATGATGCCCAACTCTGTCATCCTGTTTTGTTGCAGAGCAACACTTCTGGGTCACATTCCACAATTTGGAAACAGACCATCTAGCCATCACTGGTACACAGTCTTCAGGAACAATCTTAAAAGCTTCCCAGCTTTGAAAGGAGAACAAATTGGCATTTGTTTGCACTACACTTTTTCTGTAGCTTCCTGACATACCAAATAGGAAGGGGTTTGGGTTTGTTTTTTTATCTCTTCCCTCCAAATCATATTGCATATTGGGAATTATCTTGTGGAACTTAAGGAGTATAACTTCTTTAAGAATTTCCAATTAAATATTTATTATAGGGATGTCCACAACAAACGGAAGGCGCATGTCAGTCTTTTCTAATGCTAGGTTCCCCACTAGTCTGATGCAAAGCTTTCTCTTCCCACCACCCATCACCCTGTAAGTCACCACAATCCAAAAGCTCAACTATCAGCACAAAACCAGCAGAAGTTTGCGTTGCTGCTGAGCATGGGTGTCTGGTAAGAGAAGTCCCCCAGCTTCTGCAAGGCCCTCCTGCTAACAGTGAATTCAACTGGAGAAGCCTCTGGCTTTGAAGAACTGTAGCAGTGTGACTTCCTCATACTCTTTCACATGTTGCTGATGCCACAGCAACAAAAACCAGCAGCCCAAAAACCAAACCGTGTCATGGGCTGCATCAAAAGCAGTGTGACTAGCAGGTCGAGGGAGGCGATCCTCCCCCTCTACTCTGTTCTAGTGAGGCCCCACCTGGAGTACTGTGTCCAGTTCTGGAGCCCACAGCACAAGAAGGACATGGATCTGCTGGAGCAGGTCCAGAGGAGGGCCACAAAGATGATTAAAAGGGCGGAGAACCTCTTCTATGAGGAAAGGCTGAGGGACCTGGGTTTTTTCAGCTTAGGGAAGAGAAGGCTGTGGAGTGACCTAATAGCAGCCTTCCAATACATGAAAGGGGCAATGGCCTGAAACTGCAACCAGGTAGATTTAGATTAAATATAAGGAAAAAGTCTTCACCATGAGAGTGGTGAAGCACTGGAACAGGTTGCCCAGGGAGGTTGTGGATGCCGCATTCCTGGAAGTGTTCAAGACCAGGTTGGATTGAGCTTCGAGCAACCTGGTTTAGTGGGAGAGGTGTCCCTGCCCACATCAGGGGGCTTGGAACTAGATGATCTTCAACGTCCCTTACAACCTTAACCATTCTATGATTCTAAAACTTTAGTTGATGTATTTGGAAAACATCTGGACTGAGCCTGAGCTGAAAGAACTGTTTTGGTGTTTGAATTGTGTGACAAAGCCTTGCAACTGTCACCCCAACTGAAAGCAATGAAGACCATGTGCAGACAGCCATTTCTGATGGAGAACAGTCATGCTCTTTGAAAACATAAAAAAAAACCCTTGAAAAGCACAAGAGATGAACAGTGATTGAGATATTCAGACAGTTTTGTTGATTACATGCTGTTCTAGCATATATTCATGTTACTTAATCCCCTGATGTTTAAAAACCTGTCCTTTGGGGAAGAAAAGTCTTTTTTTCTAAGGAAAAAACCCACAGAAAACCCAAACAACAAACCCAAAGCCTCTACTTTTTTTCCCCGTTTTACCTATTTCTCAAAAATTTCATTTGGGCCCAAGTGCAACCATACGTAGCTGCTGCTTCAAAGCACATCAACTTTCCACATAATACATCCCTGCACAATGACTTTTTAATAACCTCTGCTGAACTCTCACACAGTTCCCACAAGATCTGTGGTAAATTTCTTTCAGTCATCTAGCAGACACCTCTTAAGAGCTTGCAAGTTGTGCAGACTGTCCATACGCTTATCATTTGTCCTCTCAGAAACATTTAGTGCTTCATTCAAAACAAGTCAAATGAAACATGAAACAACCTTGTCACCAACAATAAATGTCAAATAAAATATTTTAAATAAGGATTTAAAAAATCTGAATGCCATGTACTTTTCCCATTGAAGAAAATCAATCATAATGCATCAAAACCTTTATTATGAATAAACATTTACAGCATACACTTTAATTATGATATTGTCAGCTCAGCATGAGGAGGAAGCTTGGTCTATGCATATATTGCATTATTCCTCAGAAAGAAAGATTTTCCCATGTTAAGACTACGCATTGCTAGATTGGAAAAATGACACATCTATATCCCTTTGGAATATCACAGCCCTTGGCTATAGTCTAGGAAACTCCCCCTGGAAATAGACAGGCTATAAAATGTCCATTAAGTCAATTACACTTCACTGCTGAATACTGATGTCACAGCAACAAAAGAGTAAAGTCTGATAAAAATCCTAAAAATATTTCCTTAAGCAAAATTATTTGTTTCTATTTATTTTCATGATTTTACTCACAGCATGAAAAACTGGGGGGATAGAAGGAGCCCAGAACACAGGTACAATATTCAAGAAACATTAATCTCCTAAAGTGACAAAAGTACATGTGCTCTTTTACCTCCCTTTAAAAGCCTAGGAAATCTGACACAGGGAAAACAGTAATATGTGAAAATAAAAGCGCATACGTTGATGAGACAAGAACAATTTCCTTAATAGTAGTGACCTTCAAAGAATAGGTTAAAAATAAGGAATTGAGGTTGGCAATTTGGGTCCTTCTGGGCTGAAGCCCAGTGTGTGCACATCTCTGCATATACATTACCCTATTAACCTAGGATAGATACACATGGGGGTTTTTTTAGGAAAAAAAACAGGGTACATTTCCGATATCAGCAAGGTACATAGAAAACATTTCGATAAACTTTTTCAGTAACCACATTCCCACGTGGCAACCAGAGCACTGACTGCATCTACACTAGACTGACTTTGCGTCTGTACTCCAAAAACATACCACGTATCCAACTAGAGTCAGTTCAGGGCCATGAAAAAGTTTGGGCTGCATGCTTAATATATATGAGGTTTATTGATTACACTTTAGAACATTTTCAATTTTTCATATAAAGTTCTTGACTCAATAACAAAAACCTTAAATAAATACACAGTTATTTGTCTTGGGAGAGGAAGTATGCAGAACCAGCCTTGGTGTAGATGTCCTGTCCTGGTAGGAGCTCTTGTGTTGATGAATGGGTGATCTGCTGCATTCCAGGGACTCTAAAGAAGCTGCCTCCACTACAAACTTTTGCACCAGCACAGAAGTTGAAGGTAGGGCTAGAAGGTAGTCCATGGACCAAAAGGTCCCATACTGCCTGTCCTTCAGCTGAGTGTTAATTGAGCTTCAAGCCCAGTGAAGCGTGAAACCAAAATGCTCAAGAGCACCTGGAGCCTTTCATTTCACTATCTCCCAAATCCACATGTCAGGAGATCCCAGTTTCAACCTTTATGGCAGCCTCTTTTCTAGGTAACATTTCAAAAAGCTTACATGAACAGAATATAGTCATGGAATATTCATTCAATAGTTGGAACATTAAACTTAAATGACTACATTTTTATTTTTCTGAAATGTATATGAATGTTATCAACTTAGAAAAGAATAAACCATTATTATTTTACTGGATTTGGAAAGTCTTGTATTCTACAAAAGCAAGACAAGGAACTTGAAAGAGGCTAGACTTAAAAATTACAGTAAGGCTTCTGTTTATATTACTTATCAATGCAAAACTACCTTTTAGATTTTAGCAGCATTCTAAATACAAAACAGCATTCTTAACTAAATATTTAAGTTGGAAGCCCACATGGTTAATTAATATCAAGGTCACACACTATTTTTTATATGGAAGCTATAGTGCCTATCTTTATGCCTGGCATTGTGATAGTGGTGCTCATTGTTTTAAGGAAAGATACTCAATGAAAGACAGGAGTAAATACTCCACCACCATTCTCCAGGATATAATTAGCAGAAGATAATAAGCTACGGACTGAAACATACAGAAAGTACAGAAATATATGTATAGTAAGAGATATAAACATATATAATGATCTCTGAGACTAACCCATTTCATTCTTCTTTAGAATTTCATAAATACTCTAAATCATTGGTTTTTATCTCGTAAAAAGCAGATCTTCTTTGCCTCTCTTCATATTTTTCCTGTAATGTGTGTACTGTGAAGTCAAAAAGCACTGTACTAAAATTGTGTTCAAGTACTTTTTAGCTTCTTAATTAAAACCATTGGCTATAGACAGTATAAGAATATTGTCTACACAGAGGACTTTTTTTTACCATGTGTAATCAATTACAGCTACTATGCTTTCTGCTGAGCTTCAATTAGCAAAAAATCTACCACTTTTAAAGGCTAAATAGTAAGAGTGAACATTTTTTGAAGACCAGTGATTGAATTTCTCTGTTAGGAACATGAGAGCAGCTGCCTGGAAATTCAGGAAATACTTCTAAGTAAATTACAATAAACGTCACACTTTTGGCTGAATGGAAAGTAATTTCACCTTTTTTTTTTTGTTAAATGAGAAAAGAATGCCACCTAGCTAGAATAACGGGGTCCAATTTTTTCAGAGATGACTGATCAAAATCCTTGAGAATATACCGTTAACAATTCTACATTAGCAGAAAATGGTCACAGTGACCTAATCAGATACAATGACCTAATGAGGGTCTTAGATTTCTATTTTAAAAAAAAAATAATCTATGATAAAAATAGGTACTAGTATAAGCAAGCATAAGAGACTCTGTCATGTGTGAATGTAATACATTATCTTTCCATTTAATTCAACACTTGTGCTATGTAGTTCAGGAGAAGTTAGAATTTTCTTTCAAACAGAATGATTTAGAAGAATAATTTATGTCAGACACAGGATGATGAGGGGTTTGTGTGTGTGTTTTTTGTTTCTAGGGGTAGTTTTTTGTGTTTTTTTTTTTTTTTTTTACACACTTGGTAATTGTAAAGACAGCATCATTTTTTTGTAAGTGGGGCTAAAACAAAGCCCAAATATTTTATTTTATATTAAGTGAATTGCAGCTCTGTATGTTGACAGGCATATTAATTTAAGTCCTTGGTGCAAAACTTTTCCATTAAAGAGATAAAAGCTTATTTAATTCCATTTTCTAGCAGTATTGCAGTTTCCAGCTAGTTCAATGTTGCTCTACATAATAATGTAGATCAATATTAGAAGATGACAGTGTCCAGTGTTTTAATCAATAAGCTGTCACATACACACACACACAAGGTACCAAAAACTGTGCTAGATCATACCGATGATCATTTCACATTTCTTTAGCTATTTAAACCAGTACAAGTCATGCATTACACACATTATCCTCAGCCTGTTTACTCATAATCTCTCTTACTGCACGGTATTTCACTTTTAAGGGTATTTTAAATAAAAAATATCTTAATGTGTAGAAATAGAGTTTTGCAGCAATCTTTTTTTCTGAAAGAACACAAAACTCTTCTGAATTTCTTTGGCTTTAGATTTGGTCTGAAGCATTGAAGCAACATTATTTTAAAACTCTCAAAACAGTTTTTAAGACTGTATACTATGCAGTTAATTCTCACTGCTAAACAAAGGCTTGCTTTTCTCATTTTTAACTTTATATTCATATTACCCCCATAGTCACATCACCCACAAATACTCTTGCTATCCAGTGACCATGCAATCATGCACCACAAATCACATTTTTTAAATGTTAAAACAAAATCCTACCTTTATGTAGCCCCAAGAAACTGAGAGTAAATAATTTGCCTCAGGCATTTTTAATTTTTTTTTCCTATACTGCCAGTCTAAGCTAGTCAGTTCTTTGCTATCTGATATTGCAAAAGACTTCCAAGAATAAGGATTCCTTCTTTTCGCTCCTAATTCTTTTTGCTGATCTTCAGGTTCTCAAGAACTGTGTGCACAGGAGACATGCTGAAATGAAATCCAACTGTGTGGTCTTCCGATTGTATAAATACCATTTGTAGAACTCCAAGCATTCAGAGGCAATGCTGAAGAGACATATTGTACGAGCTGAAGAAATATCTGAAGAGCTAGGGATATGCATATTTCCTGAGCACAAGGACTTAATGAATAATGTATGTCAAGATGCTCAGCTGCTGGAAGGACTTGCTCTATCAACAGCTACCAAATAAGGACCTGAAGGGGAAGCCACAAACAGTGCCAGTAATCCCTCCCATAGAGCCTAACTAGCAGCCAATAGTATAACATCCTAAAAGATATAAATCCGAGGGGCTGGTGACATGACATACAGTAATTTCCCATTGGCCAGTGCTGGGGTCTCTCCTGGGTATGGGTTATTTGTTATTTTTTTACTGCAAATGCCATTTAATAATGGCATCCCTGCCTGCAGCATTCACATGCCATTCAAAAATAATTAGGTTAAGGCCTCCTAACTTCAGCAGTATTTACCAGCTCTTTTCAATGGACACGCCATCCAAACAGTTAAAATTAGTATTGTATATATTCTTGTGGATAGGTAGATAGAGATATGGATAAAACAGCCTAGCAGTTTTAATTTTTCATATGGAGGGGAAGTATATTGTGGTTTTTTTGTGATGGAAAGCCAAGAAATAAAGTATCGAGTTTCTTAAGCAGCTTGCGATGCACTGTAACAATTAAATGTTTGGGGGTATTATGCCATCTAGAGTAAAATCTGATCTATTTAGATCATTGGACCAGTCTGCCAGTTTCTACTGCTTTTTTAAGAGATAAAAGCAGTTATTATCAACATAAAGCAAGTAATGCGTCTTAAATTCCCAGTAAACATTGCATTTCCATGGAGAAGTCGGAAATGACACAATAAGGTCCTCTATTCTCAATGTATTTATTCAACTTCTGCTCTTTCTCCCTTGGCAGATTAATACAATCAATTACAGCTATACATCGTGGGGAAAAAATCAAAAACAATTAATTGAAAGCAGAGCGTGTCAGTGAGCTGACTTAGAGCATTAAATAAAATATCCCACCATCTGCCATTCAGAGATCAAAAACTTAAAAAGACAAATGCATTATCCCCCAGCACTCTGTACAAGGCATATACAGTATTCAGCAAATTTCTGAGTTCGTTTTATCAAAAGAAGGGAGAGTTTCTCAGCATGGGCAAATGTCTAAGGACAAGCTGAATGAGGTGCAGCGTTCAGCCTAAGCCTGCACTGCTGATTCACTGGAAGATGCTGGCTGACAACAGTCATAAGAGAGATTTTGGCTGAAGTGGTTTCTCCTCTGAGTGATGCTACACAGCACTGTCAGCAACACTAAGTGCTTGAAGAAGAATTGAACCTGCAAAAATCAATAGGGCAAAATATGACATTAACAAGTTCCTTCCTTCCAGAAGAGAAACGTATAGCAATGTGACAACTGGATACAGCCAAGAGATCTTCCAGCACTTTTATGTATTTGCATATGAAAAGCATATTGTTTTCTTAAATAAGTAACAAAAACATGTGAATGAACACATTACTGATGCATTTTCTTTATAATATGCACAGTTATACCTGTCCTTGATCTAAACAGGTAGATTAATATAGAACAATCAAGTTCTGAAAACAGACCTGGATTAGGTGCTCAGCAAGATATTAAAGTAGCCTAAAAAGTATTTCTGGAAAATATTTTTCCTGATTCTCTTCCAGCTCAGCTGAATAGAAAGCTTGTCTACGTGTGTATTGCAGTTTTCTGTTTAGTGCGAGAGAGCACTGCTGCCACCTATCTGGCATCAACACTGAGAATGGAAAATACACTGCCTACCTTCAGAAGGCAACTTCAGTCATAACTTAGAAAATTTTAAAATAACAGCCATTATACTTCTGGCAACTTAAGAAATGAAGCGTGTGGGTATGAAAGTTTGGTGGCAATAGGTAATATGAACAGGTGGCAATAGGTAATATGAACAGGCATTGGAAAGCCAACTTTTTTAATCACTTCTCTTACTTTGTTGCTTTAAAGGCTGTTATCTTCCTTAAATCTTATTAATAACTGCCCCACAAAAGCACAGATTTTATTTCAGATAAGGAATATTCAAAATGGCTGCTAAACAAATTACATTAGTTATTTAGCATGTATTAAAAAACCCCAACCTTCCTTCAGTTTTATTTCCTACAAACACGAGACATCCGTAAGAATTACTGAATTATGTTGAAGGATGGTATTTATAGAGCTATTTCCTACATAATTTTGATGTAAAACCATGAAAAACCACTTTTCTCCATGCACATGTGTTACATTTCAGCTGTGTATTAACTATACTGATAATAGGAAATTAGACCCGATAATGACAGCTTATTATTAATTTGCATAATTTTTCCAAGACCCATGGCCTCAACCCTATAAAACCCCCAATATCTGTGATATAATTTAGTAGTACAACTTTGTCAACTCAGAAATTATGCCCTCTGACTTCAGCTACATATACAAGTATAACCTTAGAAATGTATAGTTCAGAAATTCATACAGGCCTTGATTTACAATAATAATTTTGGCTGATTTTAATCCTCAATTCCCAAGTTGTAATGAGTGAGTAATTAGCTTTAGAGAAGGTTATGGTGGATAAATGAGTGTGCAACAAATAGCTGCCACACACAGCTAAATACCTAGCTGTGTTTCTAAATAAGGAAATTAGAACATTTAGATAAGTGGAAATCCAGCAACGTGAAAGGGAAATTCTTGTTTTCGTACACACATACATACATGAAGATGAAACACGAGGGATGAAGGAAATAATGGTATTTTCTACAAGGATTCCAATCCAGCAAAGAATATGGAAATGAGAAAAATAACTTGAAATGACAGTAACTCAGTAAAATAAAATAATTCAGAAGAAAATTAAGTTTTTAATGAGCACTTGTGTTTTTTTGAAAGAATCAAGACAATGACCTTGAAAGGCAGAAAGATGATGAAGTCCTTTAGTACGTATGGGAAATGTTAGCCATTATTTAATCAACAAACCTGGACAACTTTCTCCACAGGAGTCATAAAAAGAGGTGGCAGAAATCCCAGGATTTACGATGTTCAGCTTTACCAGATTTTGAAAGACAGCAAAATTGTTAATGTTATGTCAATTACAATTTGCAAGGAGCATGGCTGGGTAACTTCAGGCCACTTCACAAAACATCAGTCCCGGGTAAAATAATGGAAAAGCTGAAATACGCATATTCTAGGCATTTGCTTCACAGAGAAGTAAGACACAGGAATGTGAATTATGGTAGTCAATATTGTTTTATGCCTTGGAATATGCAATACTCTTGGATTGCTGTAGGGCATTTGATTTAGCACTGTATAACGCTCTGCAACAGCAGTCCCAGTGTTGAGACAGGACACATTAAATGGGTTAAGAACCTGATTACTGACCATTTCTAAAAGCCATCAACAGTCTTCATCTAATGGGACAGTTTTAAGTCAGGCTCTGCAAGACCTGAGACTGTTTTATGGTATTCAGTTTCTTCAACGGTGATCAGTAGAATTGTCACTATTATGAAAACTTCCACAAGTGTGGTAACTTCTAGAGAACAGAGAAAATGAGGGGAGAGATAAACTATGAAGATGTGGAAGTCACCACTAGCAGGGTCAATTAATTTGTTGACACCATTCCTGCAAACTACAGTTCAAAGAATTTAACTGTAAAGATACCTGGCAATAAGGAACACGGCCCATGAGCACTAGACTACACTGAAGAAAGCAGAAACCATGAAGAGTATATAGATTCACAACAGGAAATCTCATAGCAATACTGTGACCCCCCAAAATCTGCATTTTCTGTGATGCTAAGTAAAAAGAGAGAAACTCTAAACACATCATTCTGCCCTCTCGTGTGATGAAATGCTGCAAACAGCTCTAGTGTCTCTGTTTTCCTAAATGCAGTCATGTATAGTGCACAGGAAAAAATTACAAATATTACTCAGGGGATAGAGAAAATGTTTTAGAATAAAATAAAAAAAACTCAGGCAGTTTAATTTAAGATAATACAGCTACTGTGTAGAACCATGTCAAAGTGGAAGTATAGCATATGAGACCTGGTTCACTATAGCGAAGGAAGTCACAAGCATCAACGGAAGACAGCTGAAACTGCCCCAAATGAACTGAGGTGAAATCAACTCAAACTATGAATGAGACATATAGATTAATAAAGAAAATTATTAAATTAGTGTACACCAGCAGTGAGTGACAGATCCTCTGCTGTTTGGTATCTTCAAATCAAGGAAAGTGGGGTTTTTGGAAGGTTTGTTTTCATAGAATCATAGAACACATTGTGCTGGAAGGGCCTTTAAACACCACCTAGTCCAACCCCCCTGCAGTGAGCAGGGACATCTTTAACTGGATCAGGTTGCTCAGAGCCCCATCAAGCCTGACCTTGAATGTCTCCAGGGATGGGGCCTCCACCACTTCTCTGGGCAACCTGTGCCAGTGTTTCACCACCCTCATAGGAAAGAACTTATTCCTAACCTCTAATGTAAATCTACCCTGCTTTAGTTTAAAACTGTTGCCCCTTGTCCTGTTGCCACACTCTGTTGTAAGCAGTCGCTCCCCAGCTTTCCTGTAGGCCCCCTTTCAGGTGTTGGAAGGCCGCTATAAGGTGTCTCTGGTGCTTTCACTTCTCCAGGCTGAACAACTCCATCTGTCTCAGCCTGTGCTCATAGCAGAGGTGCTCCAGCCCTCTGACCATTTTTTGGCCTACTCTGGGCTCAGTCCAACAGGTCTACATCCTTCTTTTGTTGAAGGCTCGAGAAGTGGACATGGCACTCCTGGTGAGGTCTCACCAGAGC